ACAATATATACCATATCATTAAAAAAAAGATTAGAAAAACAGAAAGTTATTTTCAAAATAAATTAATTATGAATCACTCTAATATATTTATTATAAAAGCTTATCTTATATTAAAAACCATCTTTTTATGTTTCTTGTTAAGATCTGTCGGGTTGGCAAAAACAGGTTATATAGTACATTCAAACAAAATCTTAATTTTGGATGTGTTAACATTGTAGCACCGTTTAGAATACATTTGCAAAAAATATATATCATTATCGCTATATTACTCATCATGCTCAAACCAAAAGTTTACTGCCAAATCAAAAACTTATCGAATCTGCCAAACAATCATTTGGCCAATTTTTTACTAGAAGTTCTAAAAATTATGAGAACAGCTGTAATCGTTTAATCGATTTTTAAAAAAATTTTGGCTAACTAATCGATTGCATTTTTTGGTCCAATTTGTAATATTAGATAGTAATATCAATCTGATATTCAAAATAACGCCTATGGGCATACTCGAAATAACACGCAGATGCCCATTATTTCGAAAATTTACAGTACTAAACAGAAATACAATAATAAAATCTAATGCTTAAAAATCACTGAATATACTATACCAGCATTATTTATTAATAATAAAATTCACAAATCTAAAGCAAGATATCATGCTTTGAGGCGTTAAGGTTTTTTCCTTATTTTTTCCTTTTTTTCTTTTGCATTATCTCTTCTTCCGTATTTAGTTATCATCCTATAAATAGTAAATGTCAATTGCTTAGCCCATATATACATACATACGTACCTAAAATAGATATATATATTAATATCAAAAAAGGCAAAACGAGTAACATTTAAATAATCCTCCAAAAATAGAATATATTTTACTTATCTAGATATTATAAGATCTGAGCCATTCCAAATAAGTTAACCATATGAAAAAGCTAACTGGAAAGTATAATTTGCGAAAGTTATGATTTCGAAGATGAATTAGAACAATGGCATACAGTGAGATGAGTTTTTGATCACCAATTAGATCGATATAAGATGCATAATTCATGAAATTTTGATTTAGAAGATGAATTAAAACATTGGCATAGAGCAGAATGAGTTTTTGAACACCATATAAAAGCACCTGAATTAGTACAGAAAGCATAATTGCGTGAAAATTTTGATTTCAAGAATTAAACGGTGCATTGGCGCAAAGTGGGATGATTTTTGGGTCGCGAAAAAATGTTAGAATCTTGATTGTTAAGAATATATTTAAATAAAGATTTTGACCTTTCAAGAAAAATAAATTTTTACGAAATTTTTAAAAAAATATTATAAAAGCACTTTCATAAATAGTTTAAAAATCTAAAATAATGCTTGTCAAAGTTGAATTATATACTAAATTTTCTCTTTCAGTAATAATGGATATAGTGTATGCCCACATTTTCATAATTACTGCAACTAACTTTGTGCTTTTAAAATTAACAATTATTAATAAAATCAATTATTCATAGCAATACGCATAGACAACATAGAAATCGAAAAAATGAATCACCTGAAAAGCACCAAAAACGTATCTCCAGTGAGCAAAACAGAATGCTAAGACAAATAGCTACAGAAACTGCTGAAGAACGTGAAGCGCGGCTTGCACGTGATCGAGAATGAAAGCATAAAAAAGCAAGAACAAGTGTTAACTTACAGCAAGAATCTGAAAGGCCTGTAATAGCAGTGAATATAACAAGAAATCAAACTGATGAGATCATTGCTACGTCTCACAGTGAAGAAAATACAGCGACTATACCTCAAAATGATGACGATATTGTAGAAACTAATGCCGAGCCATTATCAGCTACAACTATTAGCACACCAGAACAAAAAATGTTGCAAAAATTTCATACCAAAATAAATAAATTTCAGTATATCCTTTGCCCTGTATGTAATGAGTGCTTCCTATCTATAGTGCTCGTTAATAAAATGTGCTGCAGGTGTAATGCTGAAACGACTTTGCTAAAAAGGTTTTCTGCTAAAAAAAATATGAACCCGGGTAAAATACCCCACGAGCTTAAAGGTCTAACTGAAATAGAAAAAATGTTAATAGCACAAGTTTTTACTGTAATGACAGTATATAAACTTTGTGGAGGACAACATGGATATAAGGGAAACGTTATAAACTTCCCTCAAAATGTGCAAGAGTTTACAACACGACTTCCTCAGCACCCTTCGTCATTAAACGTATTAATTATTCGTCGCTAGTTAGCTAATGATCCTACCACGTTTAGAGATTTTAAAGTTCATCGTAATGTCGTTGCAAATGCATTATACTGGTTAAAGGCAAATAATCAGTATTATGCTGACATTACTATCGACAATGAAGTTCTTGAATCTTTACCTCAAGAAGGTTATATCAATGACTGACTTCTACAACTTCAAACAAGCCAAACGATTGATGATTTAAATCATGAAACTGAATATGAAGATGTTATGCATTCTTTCGTGCCCTATCTTCCACCAACTGACCATGAAGAAGTTGCAATTAATAATACTCTTGACTGTATAGAGTCTGAAAACCTACCCATATTATAGCCACAAATTGATGGCTCCCCTATTAATGAATTTTAAACGCCAGGGTATATCATACGTGCGTTCCCAACTCTATACCCAACAGGCTGTGCTGACTTTCATGCGGAATGTGCCAGAGATGTCAAACCAGCAGAATATTTTAAATATCTGCTTCAATTTAGAGATAGATGATTTGCACGGCATACTCGTTGGCACTATTTCGTATTAAATACCCAAATGTGATAGAGAGCATTGCAAGAAGGAAAAATTTATGTTAGACAAAGTTTGAATGATGATCAACTTACCGTCACAGATATTCAAGATATGATCACGGAAGGAGACACACATATGGCAGACCGAATTATGCGATTTGGAGTAGGTTTGCGTAGGTCTCAGCAGTTTTGAAATGCTCGACGGTGCGAATTATCAGATATGATAAAGCAATTGAGTTTTCAAGGGTTAATTTTTTTTACTTTTAGTGCTGCTGATTTGCACTGGCCTGAACTTCATGAACTTATACAATCTATAAAAAATTCTGTAGATGAAGAGAACGATTCTTCAGAACATCGTCATCAAAATATTATCAATAACCCTCATATCGCTGTCTGGTTTTTTAATAAACGTTTTGAAATTTTCTTTAATGACGTACTAAAAAAGCGATAGGATTTAGAAGATTGGTGGTATAGGTTTGAGTGGCAGCATCGTGGTAGTGTCCATGTACATGGTATTGGGAAAAGATAAAATGCACCTGTTATTGAATAGAAACAAATCAAAGATGACGAAAATAAATTGAATCAAGTAATTTAATATCTTGACTCGCTTGTCACTACGATTAATCCAGGACTCAATGCACCAATACCGACTGCTATCTATGCCAAAAATGTAAAGAAGAAATACATGATGATCTACAAGATTACATTGATTTAATAAACAAGTTACAATGGCATACTCGATGTAGTCCTGCTTATTGTATTCCTGTTAACAAAGCAGGTCAACAATCTTGTAGATTTGGGTTTCCTAAAAAAAATAATGAGTGCTCCTTTTTGCGTGAAGACAATTGTGAAGAACCGGAATTAGTAATAGCAAGAAATAATCCATATATTAATCCACACAACCGGCTTCAATTACAGGGCTGGCGTGCAAATGTTGACATTAAACCAATCCTCAGTGCTCATGCAGCCTTGCAATATATTTCTAAATATGCAAGTAAGGCAGAGCCACGTTCTGCTACTTTCTCTGAAATATTAAATCAGATCATATTAAACAGTAGATCTGACGATTCTGTATTTCTAGTAGCTCAAAAATTACTAATACATAGTGTCGCAGGGCGTGACATTTCGGCACAAGAGACTTGTTATCTTCTCTTGGTATACCACTTTATCATTCAAGTAGATCATTTATTTCTTTGAACCTAAATAAAGAATCACCACGATAGCTTCGTGGTACTAGTAGTGAAGGTAATGAATTTGTATATATCACAAATGCAGGATTAACATCACAGTCACCTTTAAAAATATATTGTGAAAGACCAATAGAGTTTGAAAATTTTTCTCTATTTGAACTATATTTAACACATAAATTTGTTCATGGTCGTTGGATAAAATGTACGAAAGAAAATATTGTATGTATATGGCCACGCCCATCACCTTTATATTATAGTTCTCAATGGAAGGAGTTTTGTCATATTAAAGTTCTTCTTCACATTAAACATCGATGCATTTAGCAGTTAACCGAAAATGGTACTATAGAATGGTCAACCTTATATAATCATTATCTTGAAGAGATTAATTCGGATGCAATGGATTTGCTTGGTTCACCTGTGGATGAAATAGGCGACGAAACTATTGAAGAAGAAAATTTAGGTGAACAAATTGAAGATGAAAAGAATGAAACACAACTTGATTGGATGCGATTAGCAGGAATAGGTCCAAATGTAATTATTAATTGCTTCTCTGAATTTGGATCTCATAACATAAATCTTAACTTCGATTGGATCAATGATATAAAATAATATTATTCTAATATTGATCTTATAGATGCTGATACTTTTTTGCGTAGGGCTTCACATAGTTCTAGAGTAGAAGATCATGAAAATGAAGTTATGGATACCATTGATTATCTAAATTTAAATGAAAATCAAAAAAAAAATTTTAAACGAATAGAACAACATTATGAAAGTATAATTTCTGGTTGTCAAGTTGAACTATTAAGAGTTATTGTCATGGGAACAGCAGGGACTGGTAAATCGTACCTCATTAAAGCAATTAGAGGTAGACTTCATGAAATAGCAAGGATTGAGTCTGAATCACCAATACTTGTACTTGCACCGATGGGTGTTGCTGCATATAATATTCAAGGAACAACAATTCACTCAACACTTTGTATTCTGATACAAAGTAATAATTTTGATATGAATAGTGAGCAGTTAAAGTGACTACAAAATAAGCTGCAAAATATAAAATATTTAATTTTTGATGAGAAAAGTATGATTGGGCATCGAATGCTTAATTTGATTAATATACGATTACAACAAGCTTTTCCCGAACATAAAGATGAACCATTCGGTGGTTGATCTCTTATTCTTTTTGGTGATTTTGGCCAGCTTCTACCTGTGCTTGACCTTCCAATATATGCAACTAATATTTTACGAGACCCATTATCTAATGACGGCATTGTAGTATATAGTCAGTTTCGTGAAATATATAAACTTGATATTATTCAGTGCCAATCTGAAAATTCTAGAGAGCAACAAGACTTCAGGGACATTCTCTTATGATTGCATAATGGAGAATCTGTAATTGAAGATTGGAGAATACTTAGTACACATATTGAAGAAAAACATAATAAAACCGAACGTGATAAATTTTCAAATGCCACATTCATATTACCAAAATAGTCTGATGTTGATAAGGTTAAGATAGATAAGCTTGGATCTCTAAATTGTCCTATTGCCAAAATTCTTGCTGTACATACCGGTAATCAGGAAGCAAAAAAAGCTGATTCTGATGTTGCGAAAGGTCTTGAATCACAACTTTTGCTAACTAAAGATGCACGAATTATGTTAACAGTAAATCTATAGACCGAAGCTAGATTAGTAAATGGATTAATAGGGACTGTTCATAGCATTTTGTATAATGATAATGAACCATCTTCTCTTCCTGTAGCAGTCTTTATTACATTCGAAAGTTACAAAGATCCTGTGATCACAACTTTAGATGGTGTAAAAGTTGTTCTGATCGTACTTGTTCAACGTACCTGGAAAAGTAAAGCCGGAATATTATGCTCACGAACTCAGATTCCTGTTTGTCTTGCCTGGGCAATTATGGTACACAAAAGTCAAGGGCTTACTCTTTCAAAAGCTGTGATTGATCTTAGAAAAAGAGAGTTTGCTGCAGGTCTTTCATTTGTAGCGGTGTCCAGGGTTCGAGCTCTTACAGACATTCTTTTTAAGCCTTTTAGTTTTGAAAGGCTTCAGCGAATTAAAAATTGTAAGCGATTACAAGAAAGAAAGGCTGAAGAAGAGTGACTGGTGTCTATAATATCTAAAAAATAAATAATATAATAGTTAGCACAATACGAATTGTAATACATATAAATTTTATTACTTCTCTGATCTATATATAGGCTATAGTATCGTACTGTAGTATAGTTTTCGTATACTGTATATTTTATTAAAAAAATTTTTGTAAAAAAAATAGAAATGTTAAATTTTACAGATCTGTGATCTAGAAGTTACCCAATCAGACGAACAATAGAAAGCACGTAAAAATTTGTTTTTTTGTTAACAGTATACAAGCATGCAAATTTAGATACGTGGCGTTACAAATAGAAATACCAAAACTACGTTGTTAATATTTTTAGATAAAAAATATCAAAAACATAATTTCAGTTATCAACATGCATAAACATGTAAGTCCTACGCTATGCTCTGGACAATTACACTAGAATCGTATTACTATTGCTTAAATTATATAGACACATATAGCTTATGGCTATATCTATATTAATTTATATAAAAATATTTAAAATTTGTTATATTTAAATTTTTATTATAAGTTTTATTATAAAAACTATTACTTTTACTATAAAGATTTGTAAGCTGTTAG